GGCACCTAAGAAGAACAGCCTTTGTAGGAAGGATCCTCAGTGGCCTGGCTCATCATCTAACCAAGAAGTGGGGGCAGTTCACATCCACCCAGCAGCTCCCCTGGAAAAAAACCTGGCAATCTGCTCCCCTAAAGATGACAGTTAGGATTCTCTATGGGGCAGTTCCACTATGGGGTCAGTATGAGTCAGAATCGACTCAACAGCACTCAGCAACCACTACCACCACCATAGGGCCCAGGCATTATACCACTTCTAGGTATAATGAAAGTGACCCAGGCAGATATGTGGCCCACCAGTGTTCACTGCAACTCTATTCACAATAGCCAAAAGGTGGCAACAAGCCAAGTGTCCATCAACAGAAGAATGGAGTAACAAAATCGGATACATCTGAATTCAGCCTAAGAAAGGAATGAAGCACTGCTTTGGATGAAGCTCAAACTCAGGATGCAGAGGCAAAGAAGTCACACACAGGGTCACATATTGTATATACATGATTCTATTTGTAGGGAGTGTCCCGAATAGACAAATGCGTACAGACAGAAAGCAGGTGAGTGACTGCCAGGGGCTGGGGGAAGGAGGAAGGGGGAGCCACGAAGTCCTGGGTACAGGGCTGTACTATGGGGTGAAGAAAACCTTCTGAGACTTGAAGGGAAGAGTTTGCACACCACTGCGAAATGTGCCAAATCTGCTGTAGTGGTTGATTTTGATTTTAAGAAGTGAACACCGCCATCCCCCTATCTCAACTCCCCGCCTGGCTCACAGGAGGGACGCTGTCTGTCTGTCCTCACTGACCTTCCCATGTCGTTTGCCGTGGCACCAGTGACCGATGTAGGACACAGGCTGCGTGCTGCACTTGAACAGGCCGAATCCGTTCCGTAGACCGTTGACCACTTCTCCCTTGTAGGTGCTGCCGTCCGGCCATGTGTACACCCCGTGGTTCATCGGGATGTTCTTCACAAAGTCCCCCTGGGGCAAGACAGGCAGATGAGAGGCAGGAGGAGGGCTGTGGGAGACCCTTAGACCCCGTGGTTGTTTGAGCCCCTATCGTGGCTTCTGGTGCGATTCCTAGTGATGAATTCACCCCCACCCTTCATCCTTCCTACTGCCTGACCTGTACCTCCCCACCCACTCTCTCCCTCCTCACCCATCATCACCAGGTAAAATCAAAGCTTAGTAACTTGTGGAGGCTAAACTCTAAGCAGCAAGGCTACAGCAGGGTACAGAGGTGGCTTCAAATGTAGGCCCTGGGAACCATAAAGGCAGACAACGGAGGCTTGCAATTACCTCTGAGGACACAAATTTTCTGGGTTCCAAATCTCCCTCTACCGTCTCTGGGCAGTACAAACCATTAACCAGCTCAGTTCAAAGGCTGGCCATATGCGTCTATCATGAGGCAGCTTCGAATAAAGTCCTGGCAATCAACTTCTGAAAACTCAGCCACTGAAAACCCTATGGTGCTCACATCTACGCTGACCCACATGGACTTGCCCGAGCCAGAGTGGACTTGATGGCAGTTAGCAATGTTCCTTCCAGGAGATGTTGATGTGAGGCAGCGTTAGTGGTTATGGACAGAAACCCTGCTTTCTGCCTAGGGGTTGCCTGAGACTGTGGACCCAGCAGCCAGGGGCTGTAGAGAGCAATGAGGCTATTGGCCCAGTGTCCAGCTATGGAGCTGTGGATTCTCCCCCAAGAATCTGAATTCACAGCAGGCAGCTGGCCAGATAGAGGTGGTCATCGAACCCCCAGCTCGAGTCTATGAGGGCCAGCTATCTCCCCGGAAATGACCCTGGCTTCAGAACACACGAAAGGTGAGTATCCACAAACAGAACTCCTCAGCAATCACCACTCCAGGATCCAGACCTCAGCAAATCCACGTCCATCATGTCGATTCCAACACATCCTGACCCTAGAGGACAGAATAGATCTGCCCCATTAGGTCTGTAAGGCTGACATCTTTACAGAAGCAGACTGCCTCATCTTTCTTCTGCAAAGCGGCTAGTGGGTTCCAATCACCGACCTTTCAGTTAGCAATCTAGATCTTTAACCACTGCATCCCCAGGGCCGGAAGCCTTCAACGCTGACTGGTGGGAAGAGGCAAGTTGGTACATAGAAGAGGATTTGTCCTTGAGGAACCTGAGGCCATGGCCCTCAACCTCCCTTCAGGTCTGGAAAGGAACTCACCCTCGTGGCCCAATTTACAGCCAAGTAGTAGATAGGTAATATAGAAGCTCTGGTGGCGAAGTGTTTACGAGTCAGGCTGCTAACCTCAAGGTCAGCAGTTGGTTCCACAGGACAAAGATGAGGCTTTCTGCTCATGTTAAGATTTACAGCCTCAGAAATTGAGCCGCTATGTGTTAGAGATGACTCCACAGCACATAACCACCACCACCGCCACTAGTAAGGTATGTATGCTCACCATGGAATGGTCAGTCATTCAAAATCAAAAGGGAAAAAAAAAAAAAAAAATCAAAAGGGCAACATTTTCCTAAGGACAAAGTTGAGAAGGGATGGGAAGATAGCTGGAATGCAAACATGAACCACAGGGAGGAAGCCGGACAACTGTTGTTTCAGGGAGGGGACTGTAATCATTGAGAGGAAACAAAGTGTGTGATTTATTGAATGCAAAACTGATAATCTTGTCTGTAAACCTTCACTTAGTCTACAATAAAAAGTTTAGAAGAAAAAGAGGATTTGTCCAGAACAACTGATGTTAAGATCCAATCCTTAGGCCCTGCTCCTACTTCCAACCTTAAAGGTGCCCCCTTGGCATCTGACCCATCCATCCTCTCTCTCCGACTCTCCCAGGGCAACCCCAGTTAGCTGCCCATCGGTCCAAACTTCCTCTTGACTCTTTCCTGGAACAGACACTAGATGGGAATGTGTTTCAACATCTTCACTACTTATCAACACCAGGACTTTGCAGCTCTGCACTTGCAGCGTTGGTATGGCGCTGTGGGTTAATGCGCCAGACTGCAAAGCTGTTTGAACTGCAAGGTTGGTGGTTCAAGTTCACAGAAACCCTCAGAAACCACAGGGTCACTATGAGTTGGGATCAACTCAAGGGCTCTTAACAACAACAACAACTTGCGGTGTTTAAAAGAGCATGTCTGGTCCTCCTATGTTGAAACAAGGCAGTCTCTTTGGAGAGCAATTTGGTTCTAGCAATCAACTTCAAAATGCACATCCCCCTCCACCCAGCCAGCCAGTTAACACAAAATCCACATGATGGTGTACAGGCAGTAAGCAAAAAGAATCTAATCCTTGTGAATCTGCCCACTGAGGTTAGATTTCCCATTCAAAAGGTGGGGGGGGGGGGGGGAAGTACAGAAGAGAAGATGTAATAAATGATTGTGTTTTTTCACAGTTAAGAGAAGCAAGGGGATAAATAAACTGTGGTATACTCACACAACAGAGCACGGTTCAATAAAACAAAGAAAGGAGCTATTAAGCTATGAAAAGGCAAGGAGGAAACTTCAAGGCATCTTGTTAAAGTGCAAGAAACCAGTCTGGAAAAGCCAGCTACTGTATGATCCCACTGATATGACATCCTGTAAGAGGCAAGGCTAGACAGAGGGAAACGGTCAGTGAGCGTCACAGGGAAGGAAGAGGGGAGCACAGGGCATTTTGAGGGCAGTGAAACTCTTGTGCATGAAGGCCGTCATGGTGGATGCACGATAATCGTGCATTTGTCAAAGTTCATGGGGCTGTAAACACACAGACTGAGCCCCAGTATAAAGGTTCATCAATTATAACAAGTGTAACAAGTGTACCCCACAGATGGAGACTGCTAATAACCAGATAGACCTTGTGTCCTGAACTCTGTATTTTCTGCACAATCTCCCTGTAAACCTAAATTAATGCAACAAAACAAATGCAATCCCACTGCCATCAAGGTGATTCTGACTCATAGCCAGCTTATTGTTAAGAGCCACCAAGTCGGCACTGACTCATAGCGACCCTATGCACAACAGAATGAAACACTGTCCAGTCTTGCGCCAACCTTGCAATCATTGCTATGTTTGAGCCCATTGCTGCTGCCACTGTGCCAATCCATCTCACTGGTGGTCTTTCTCTTTTTCTCTGACCCTCCACTTGAACAAACAGGATGTCCTTCTCCAGGGACTGATCCTTCCTGATAACATGCCTGAGCATCCTAGCTTCTAAGGAGCACTCTGGCTGTACTCCTAACAAAGATGTATTTGGTCTTTTGGTAGTCCAGGGTACTTTTAATATTCTTCTCTAACGCCATAGCTCAAGTGTATCAATTCTACGCCTTTCCTATTCACTGTCCAACTTCACTTGCATATGAGATGATTGAAAATACCATGGCTTGGGTCAGGCAAACCTTAGCTCTCAAACTGACAACTTTGCTCTTGAACACTTTAAAGAGGTCTTGTCAGCAGATTTGCCCAATGCACTACGTTGTTTTATTTATTGACTGCTGCTTCCATGGAAACCGTAGGGTTTCCAAGGCTGCAAATCTTTACGGAAGCAGACTGCCACATCTTTCTCCTGAGATAGCAGCTGGTCAGTTGGAATAGCCAACCTTTAGGTTAACATCCAAGCTCTTTCACCACTGCACCATCAGAGCTCCTAGAACTACCCTAAAAAGATCTATTTTAAAGACGCAAACCCAATACCACTGAGTCAATTCTGGCTCATAATGACCCTATGCAGGGTTTCAGAGGCTGTAAATCTTTATAGGAGCAAAAAGCCTCCTCTTTTTCCCACTGGTGGATTTGAACTGCTGACCTTGTTGCCAGCAGCCCAATGCATGACCCACTACACTACTGTTTAAAGAACATTGTTGCTGTTGTTAAATGTCACGAGTGACAGTGACATCAACTCATATTGACCTTGCATAGGGTTTCCGAGGAGCAGCTGGTGGGTGTGAACTGCCAACCTTGCTGTTAGTAGTCGAGTACTTATTCTACAGTGTCACACCAGGACTGTGTGTTTGTTGTTGTTGTTTTGTTTTTCAAAACGTCTACCTTTACATTTCCAACCCTCACAAGCAGTCCTGATAACAATTATTCACTATTGTATCACAAGAGACCCATTCACATTTCCTTT